GACGCGTTACATGTACCATGGGCGGACTTACCTAAGGGAGAGGCCGATCGGCTGCGCGAGTTACTGCGGGAGTATGCCGACGTGTTCAGCGAACACGACTCGGACGTGGGTCGGACCGACCTTGTTAAGCATCAAATTGACACCGGTGCAGCCCGACCCATCAAACTCCCTGCGTACCGAGTGGGCGCACCCGAACGCGCCCAAATCAAAGAGGCAGTTGGGGACATGCTTCGCGATAACATAATTCAGCCCTCGGCGAGCCCCTGGTCAGCCCCGGTGGTACTAGTAACGAAAAAGGATGGGTCAACCCGGTTCTGCGTCGATTACCGTAAACTAAACGCAGTCACGCTCGGCGATGCCTTCCCCATACCTCGCATCGACGACACCTTCGACAGTCTCGCAGGAGCGCGGTATTTTTCCACCCTCGATCTGGCGTCCGGTTACTGGCAGGTGGAGATGACGGAGGAGGATCGGCCAAAAACAGCATTCACCACCCCGATGGGCCTGTTTGAGTTTCGAGTGTTGCCGTTCGGACTCACTAACGCGCCCGCGACGTTCCAGCGGTTGATGGAGTTGGTGATGCGGGGCTTGCAGTGGGAACAGTGCCTGATTTACTTGGACGATGTGATAGTGTTCAGTAGATCTTTGTCTGAGCATTGGTCCAGGCTTCGAGAGGTGTTCCAGCGACTGCGAGCGGCTCATCTCAAGCTCAAGCCACGTAAGTGTTACATCGCACAACGCGAGGTGGGGTACCTCGGGCATCGCGTCAGCGAGGCAGGCGTGCGCACCGATCCGGAGAAGGTACGCGCCGTAGTGGAGTGGCCACGGCCAAGGAATCTGACGGAGATCAGATCATTTTTGGGGCTCGCCACCTATTATCGTCGATTTGTAAAGGGATTCAGCGAGATTGCACGCCCCCTCACCCAACTCACCTCCCCTAAGCACCCCTATCAGTGGACGGGGGCCTGCCAGACGGCCTTCACCACTCTCAAAGACCACCTCACCCACGCCCCCACCCTCGCTTTCCCCGATTTTACCACCGATTTTATTTTGGACACCGACGCCTGCAGCAGCGGGCTGGGCGCGGTGTTGTCACAGGTACAGGATGGGACGGAACGAGTCATCGCGTACGCCAGCCGGACCTTGAGTGGGGCCGAACTGAACTATTGCGTGACCCGCCAAGAGTTGTACGCCGTGATTTTCGCATGCAAACAGTTCCGGCCGTATTTGTACGGCAGGAGATGTCGCGTACGCACTGACCATTATGCTCTGCAGTTTCTGCTTACATTCAAGGAGCCGCGGGGGCAGATGGCCCGGTGGTTGGCGCAGTTGCAGGAGTACAACCTGCAAATCGAGTATCGGGCTGGCCGGACGCATGCAAACGCGGACGCCTTGTCGAGGCGACCCACGGTGTACGCCGAGACGAGGGCGGAGGAGGCCTGCCCGTGTTTCACGGGGGGACGCTGCCGGCAGGCAACGGACCCCCGAGAGGCCGCGGCCACTGACCCCCCCCCAGCGAGAGAGAGGGCAGTGTGCGCCACGGAAACCCTCACAGGTGGCACTGAGGATCCCGTCGACCGCCCGGCAAGCGCGGGACCCGCGGCTCGGGACCCGATTGGACGGATCCAGGAGGACGTCGGCTGCGCCTTCCCGGGCCTAAACGACGAGCAGCTGAGACAGACCCAGCAGCGAGATCCGGATCTGGCGGCAGTGGAGGTGGCACTGCGGGAGGAAAAGAGCGCCCTACCAGGACCCTGGAGCGGTTTGTATGCCCGGTTGTGTGTGCGGAACGGAGTGGTACGGGAGTTAACCGAGGCCGGCCAGCCGGGGTGCATCTGTGTTCCTGCCCAGGTGCGACCCCAGCTGCTACGGCTGGTGCATGACCACCCACTCGGGGGCCACGATGGGGAACGACGCACTCGAGAGACCCTGCGTCGCCAGTATCTCTGGCCCAAATTGGCACAAGATGTGGCCGCCTGGGTGCAGGGCTGCCGGGCCTGTCAGCAGTGTGGGCAAAAGCCGGCGAGGTACCAGGTACCCCTGAGGCCGTTCCGAGTCAGTCGGACGAATCAGTTGGTCGGAATCGACCTGCAGGGGCCCTTTCCACGATCCCACCGGGGCAACCGGTATATTCTCGTAGCGGTGGAATACTTCACCCGCTACCCCGTGGCGGTGGCTATCCCGGATAAAACAGCCCTTGTAGTGGCCCGGGCCTTCGTGGAAAACTACGTACTTAAGTGCGGGATCCCCGAACGAGTCATTACCGACCAGGGTAGTGAATTCGAGGCCGAACTATTTCAGGCGCTGTGCCGAGAGTTCGGGATCCAGAAGGACCGAACCACGGCGTATCACCCCCAGGCGAACGGGATGGTAGAGAGGATGAACCAGACTCTGGCCGGGAAGCTTAAACGCATGGCGGCCGCGAATCAACAGGACTGGGACGAACACCTTCCCTATGCCCTGTTCGCCTACACCACCGCCGTTCACACCTCTACAGGACAGACCCCGTTCCTAATGATGTTTGGTCGCGAGTCTCGCCTGCCCGCAGATCTGCTGTTCGGTGTTCCTCCGCCGCAACGGGAGGAAGGGAGCCACCCCGTGGAGTACTTGCTGGAGACCCTGCGAGGGGCCAGGGGCCGAGCCTGCCCGCACGGAGAGGCCGCGCACCAGCGGCAAGAGCAGGGCGCCCGACCCCGTATGGAGCCCCCCTTCTACACTGCGGGCTCCGAGGTGTGGCTGTACACTCCCCGCGTCGGTGCCGGACAGGTGGGGAAGCTGACCACCTACTGGCGAGGACCCTGGATTGTGAGACGGCAGATCTCACCATGGACGGTGCTGATTCAGGGAGGAGAGAGGGGCCGGGAGATGGTGGTCAACATCCGCCGACTGAAGCCGTGGCGAGCAGCCCCCGAGGGGGGGAGCCCCGCCGTCCAAGTACCCCGAAACCCCGGGGTCCCCCCACCCCCCGTGCCCGGGGGCCTCGCGCAGTACATGGGCCCCACGGAGCCCCGGGCTCCGAGGGGCCCCGGGCGGGGCCGGGGGCGACGAGGACGGCGACCCTTAAACCCCACCGCCTCTGAGTTTGTTCCCCAGCCCGCAGGTGCCAGAGGCCGAGGGGAGCCGTTGGAATGGAGGAGGAGACCACCGCCGGAGCCCCAGGAGACGGAGCCGCCACCCCCGAGGCCAGCCACAAGGGCCGGGCGAATCCCGCGGACCCCGCGGCGATACCTCGTGGGGGCAACCCAGGCGAGGTGCTCAAGTCAACCCGGGACGGGGACTGGCACCCCGGGGGGCTATGTGGTGCCACAGCGACGGGGCCGCTCTGCCGAGCCAGGGAGCCGCCCGGCTTCCCCCACCGCACTGCCCCCAATCACCCGCCCCACATAAGCACACACCCTGCACGCATCCCCCCCCCCCCCCCCCCATAAAGCTGGAAGGGAAGGTTACCTGATCGACCGGTTTTTATCCGAGAGACCCTTATCGGGATTAATTCTCACGGTTTCCGGCGATCAGGGAATTGGATGACCTCCCCCGTGCTACGTGGTACCGCGGCGCTGCTGCCGGCCTTAATATGGTGTGGTCGCGGCGTGGGGCATTCGGCCACCGCGGTTGAGGCGCATTTCCCCCCACACACACCCCCACGAGTCGACGGGGCAAGCAGGGGAGGCACGGGACAGCATGAATAGCGGGGTCACAGGGGCTGTTGCGCATAGTCAGGGAGGGTTGGGATAATTGCGCTTGAGCGCGCAAGCCCCATTGGTAGGAAGGGTAAGGGAGTAATTAGGATTTACGCCTTGCACGCAGCACACTGATTAGCATATCAACAGCGCCTGGGGACTGCCGTGCGCGGGCTTGGGGTGCACGAGCCCATTGTTCAGCGCAGCATCCCCTTTGGGAGGTAGGGAGGATAAATAGAGGAGCGCAGAGGGGAAATCGCTCTCTTACTCCAGCGCCAGGCGACCAGACGCAGCTCGAGCCAGCGACCCGGACGTCCGTGCGACGCACCGAGGCACGCGGTTAACACAAGGATCAGCGGACCGCCGTGGACACTTAACAGTGAGTAAGAAGGGGAATTAGAATCATAGCCGATAAATAGGGAATAGGTACAGGTTTAGTGGAATAGGCCAGCCTCGTCGACTCACTGATTCAACATCAATTCGCAGGTGGCATATAATAAATCATTAATAGCGAAGCGTGGTCTCGCGTGATCTTGTCGTGCAGTGTGAGCGTGTGGGTGCGCTGTGTGCACAGTGGTTCGCCACGTGAGTGAGCGCTGCGCGGAGCTGAGCGCGCGGGTTGCGTGTGGGAACGCGTGTGGTACTGTGTGTGCGTAAGCTCGCGGCGTGCGTAATAGGCGTACCCCAGGTGCGCGATCATAACGCAAGCGGCCAGCAGACGGCGAGCGCTGCGCAGAGCGGCGCAAGAGTGGGTGTCGCGTGTGTTCACTCCGTGTGTGATACAGGTGCGCGATCATAACTTGCGTAGTTGGTGTGGAGTTGGAGTGCACGGAGCGGCGTGTGTGTGTGTGCATACGTTCGTTACATGTCGGATACGGATGCGCATTGGTAACGTGCCGCACAGGGCTATACTGCGAGCACGGCGTTTGATTGACGATGATGTGCGCACGTATGCTCGCAGCGTGGGAGCGCGGCGCGAGGCTGTAACAGTAGGGGCGTCGCATTCGAATGCCGGCGAAACCGTAGCGAGTAATAGGGAGGTGGGGTAACGTAAACGGAATAGGGGATGCAGGCGGGAGGGACCCCGGGGGCCAACGGCCCCCACAATACACAACACCAACGTGTGATGTTGCAGAATGAGCGGCGGGGTATAGAAAATGAACTTGATTGTCGCTTACGCCTGACGACTCGTGAGAGCCGTGACCAGCAAACGAAGGTTTCCGGCACCCGAACTTTGAAGGACACACATGGAAGCTTTCTCACGAGTAAGTGGTGGCTCTGAAAAGAGCCTTTGTGTTGTGCTTTGAGGGCCGAGCTGGGCGTTCAAGCGCGCTCGCCACGAATGCGGCGGGCGAGCTGAATGTCCTTGGGCATGATGGTGACGCGCTTGGCGTGGATGGCGCACAGGTTGGTGTCCTCGAAGAGCGCGACAAGGTACGCTTCGCTGGCCTCCTGCAGAGCCATGACAGCGGAGCTCTGGAAGCGCAGGTCGGTCTTGAAGTCCTGCGCGATCTCCCTGACGAGGCGCTGGAAGGGCAGTTTGCGGATGAGCAGCTCGGTGGACTTCTGGTAGCGGCGGATCTCGCGCAGAGCGACGGTGCCGGGCCTGTAGCGGTGAGGCTTCTTGACGCCGCCCGTGGCCGGAGCGCTCTTTCGGGCCGCCTTGGTGGCGAGTTGCTTGCGGGGGGCCTTGCCGCCCGTGGACTTGCGAGCCGTCTGCTTGGTGCGAGCCATGGCTTGGTGAGGGCAAAGATTCTCACAGGCGGGGAGGAGAAGGCGGCTTATGTAGCCCAGAGCGCGCGCTCACTGGTCAGCGGAGTCGTGACGTGCGAAGAAGGGGCGCGTGCTGATTGGTTGGCAGCGTGCAATGATCTCGAGTCGTCAACTCTTCTTCATCAACGAAATGTTCTCACTTTGGAGCATTGCAGAATGCCGCATCACGATGCAGTAGTTCCGTTTGAGCGCCGTCCATGTCTTTAACGGATGTTCTTTTCTCAAGCAAACACCTTTCCGAAAACAACTTTACAGTGCTCCGCATGATCTAAATAAAGTGTGAAAAACTGCACTTCATTGGAAACAGTAATACGTAAAAATTATTCTTTGGTTCTTTCGGTAAAGTCACGTATAAAGAAAAAATAATAAATTAAATAATAGCATACGACGTTTCGATTGCAACACAAGCAATCATCATCAGGTATAATGAAATAGCGACAAAATCTTACCATAAAAAATTATAGACAGACATATAAGCAGACAGATATCACCAATTTGTTTTTTTATATACGTGACTTTACCGAAAGAACCAAAGAATAATTCCTGCAGTCACGAAAGCTCCAAAGTTAATACGTAAAAAATGTCGGAAAGGTGATCACAGGGATAGATATCTATTCTCTTGGCATTGAGATGATGATCATCAATTATACTGCACGAGTCATCCATGCTAGGCGCTTACTTTTACATAGATGCACACGTGCAAAATGTTAGTTCCTGCCCGAAAATACAACCACGAATTAAATATATTGCATTGCAAGGTTTTGGCACCAAATATCCAATGTAATATCTGAATGGGCTGCAGATGAAATCAATGGACAAACAAGTCCAAGAAATGCCTGCTGGTGAATGTGCCATGAATATTGTTATCGCTTTTATTCCCGTGGAAACAGGTTAAAATGCGTTCCATCTCTCCATTCCACTCAATGAGCGAACAATGTCCCCGCGTGAACCGGGGCTTTGTTGGAAGTTTCGTTTAGTACTCCTGCTAGGACTGGTACAAGCAGGTTCGGAGAGGTGGGTGGCTCTGAAAAGAGCCTTTGTAATTAATGGTGGAGTCGAGGCTTCACTTGGAGCTTGTGTACTTGGTGACGGCCTTGGTGCCCTCCGACACGGCGTGCTTGGCCAGCTCGCCGGGGAGCAGCAGTCGCACTGCGGTCTGGATCTCCCGAGAAGTGATGGTGGAGCGCTTGTTGTAGTGCGCCAGGCGGGACGCCTCGGAAGCGATGCGCTCGAAGATGTCGTTGACGAACGAGTTCATGATGCTCATTGCCTTGGACGAGATGCCGGTATCGGGGTGCACCTGCTTCATCACCTTGTAGATGTAAATGGCGTAGCTCTCCTTCCTGCGGTGGCGTCGCTTCTTGCCATCCTTGCGCGTAGCCTTGGTCACAGCCTTCTTGGAGCCCTTCTTGGGAGCAGGAACCTTGGCCGGCCCAGCGCTCTTTGATGCGGGAGGATCGGGCATGTCGACGCGTCGTAGGCAGCAGCTTCAGGTCAGAACAGACGGGAAGCGAATGTGGATGTCGCTCGCGCGTTGAGCTCCTTTTATAGGAGGCGAGATGCAAATCAGAGGATCGTAGTGCGCGGCGCTGCTGAGTGGCTCTTTTAGTACCGTCCCTCTCCATCAGCCTCCAATGAGAAACGCGGACGCGATGTTCACTTTAATATCGATTTTACTGCAAAAAGGACTTGAGAATATAACACAATGTAATGTCCAAACATGTGTATTAGTGAATTGCAGCCATGGCATTGCCTTTGTTTAAAAAAGGATGACTAGAAAACCCAATACAGTATATTGTGTTTTGAGCGTGGGTTTTTTTGTTTCTTACGAGGGATTGTTTCACCACTCGTCTAATACGGCGCACGGGCGTTTTATGAACGCAATTTGGAAAAATACAAGCGCTCGGTGGAGAAAAATAACTTCGCTGTTGTGCTGTACAGGTGGAGATTAGCATTCCGGCACGCTCCGTCATTTAGGACGAGTGTGCTGTAAGATTGTGGCGCCAAATGCTCTACGTAATATCGGAATCGGCTGCAGCTGGAAATAATTCACGCAAAAATACCAGAAATGGGTTCTGTATTAAGGCGTTCAAGAATTACGCCTTGTTAAATGTGTCGTGAATATCATGATTTCTTTCATTCATGTGGAAGCAGATGAAGATTCGCCAACTCAACAAGCGAACGTCCAGCACGCTCACAACAACCCAGGACATGTGCTCCATTCAGAGCGTGTTTGGCAACACTGGCGCAAGCAGTTTCGAAGAGGTGGGTGGCTCTGAAAAGAGCCTTTGGGTTGGCTTAGTGTGCGAGAGATGGGCGCTCAGCCTCCGAAGCCGTAGAGAGTGCGGCCCTGGCGCTTGAGGGCGTAGACCACGTCCATGGCGGTGACGGTCTTGCGCTTGGCGTGCTCCGTGTAGGTGACGGCGTCGCGGATGACGTTCTCAAGGAAGACCTTCAGGACGCCGCGGGTCTCCTCGTAGATGAGGCCCGAGATGCGCTTCACACCGCCGCGGCGAGCGAGGCGGCGGATGGCGGGCTTGGTGATGCCCTGGATGTTGTCGCGCAGCACCTTGCGATGGCGTTTTGCGCCTCCCTTGCCGAGCCCCTTACCGCCTTTACCGCGTCCAGACATTGCGACTACTTGTGACAAAGCTCCTCGCGAGAGACTGCGCGCTCAGCTTGCAGCAGCAGCCGCCTTTATACCCGAAGCGTGGCGACGTCACCGACCACCCCTGCCCTCCGCGATGGCTCCGCCTTAAACCTTCCACCTTTAACCTCTGCGACGAAGAAAACCCTCCACCGTCGTCAATAACACTTCCTTGACATGTATAATATGCGACGTTTTGGGCAATGGCCCTTCTTCGAAGCACTCTGGAATGATATTGGCACACCCGCAGCGAACGCCAGAGGAACGCCATCTGTTGCAAGATTGCACGTGCAGTGAATAATCGGTGTAAGGTCTTGTTTTCAAGTGAACAAGATGAACTAACTTTATAATCGTGTGAAGCTTAACGGCTTCCAACACAATAGTTGAGTGAACGTCACCAACTAGTTGTCCCAAAGTAAGAAAGACATTGCAAACAATGCGATATTTACGTATAGTAATTAATTTAATAGAGACGTTTAGATGGTGCACCGCAATGTTTACAAAACAAAAACAAATTGAAAAGGTCAGAACGCGCGAATGAAGGCAAATTGAGTAAAGCTGTCTGGAATCAATACATTTTTAGACGAAATTCCATATTTGGCACCAGTAACATGATGACGAAATGAAGAGGTGCAACACATAATCAAAATTGGAGGTTCGTCAAGAATGCATCGATTTTGAATCTGGATTTAGATTAGAATCGCCAGCGAGAATGCTGACGTCGCTGAGATTACTCTGCACTCAGTTCGAGTGAGGGAGCTGCCACCCGCCTCGCCTGTGCTTGTGATCCCTGCTTTCGGGCTCGATCACTCCCATCACATCAATGCTTAAAACACATCGAGTGGGTGAAATGTTACACAGTTAATTTGAACTAATTGAAGCGCAGCAGCATCTGGTTCACTTTTTTAACGAAGTGGGTGGCTCTGAAAAGAGCCGTTGAGGTGGAGTGAATCGAGCGTCGGTCGTCCCATCGGATTCACTTCTTTGGCGCAGTCTTCTTGGGCTTGGCCGCGGCCTTCTTGGGCTTGGCCACCTTGGGTTTGGCGGCCTTGGCCTTGACGGTCTTGGGCTTAGCGACCTTGGGCTTCGCAGCCTTGGGCTTGGCTGGGCTCTTCGCCGCCTTCTTGGGCTTAACAGCCGACTTCACCTTTTTGGGGCTCTTGGCCGCCTTGGCAGCCGCGGGCTTCTTTGCTTTCTTGGGAGACTTCTTGGGCGCGGTCTTCTTGGCTGCCGCGGGCTTCTTCACCTTCTTGGCTGCCGCGGGCTTTTTAGCTGCGGGCTTTGCCGTTGACGACTTGGGCTTCGCCTTTGCGGCAGCCTTTTCCTTGTTGAGTTTGAAAGAGCCAGACGCGCCGCTGCCCTTCACTTGCGCCACGGCGTCTTTGGCCACGAGCTTCTTGATGGCCAACTTCACGCGGGCATTGTTCTTCTCCACGTCGTATCCTCCGGCAGCAAGCGACTTTTTGAGCGCAGGAAGAGACACGCCGTTCCTCTCCTTGCTGCTGGCCAGAGCCTTGAGGATGAGCTCGGACACGCTGGGGCCGACCTTCTTGGCCTTTGGAGCGGCGCGCTTCTTCTTGGGGCTTTTAGGCGCTGAAGTAGCCGCAGCTGGTGGTTGAGCAGGAGCAGTTTCCGCCATCTCAAGACGTCGCTTTTATCGCCTCGCCTCTTGGAAACCGAAATCAGCGCTCTCACGAATTCGAACCGAGCGTCCTCCAGGCCCGAGGTTATTATAGAAGCGGCGTACTGAATGCGGACGTCGCTGAGATCATCCAGCACTCAGCTCTAGTGAGGGAGTTGCCATCCATACTCACTGTGTTTATCACGCCTGCCTTTGGGCTCGATTACTCCCGTAACGTTCATACTTACATGCATCTAGTTAATACATCATCACGAAGATCACTTCTTTAATGTACGTTACTTATGCAATATACGACAATGCTCACGATATAAATTATAATTCTAAACAAGTGAACAACCAACATTTGGGAGACATTGTTCGGTCAGGGCAAGATATGATGATTGTCGGTTTTCAAAAGTGTTACTGATGAACACTATTTAAAACGCACTCGAATTTTTTGCAAGACAAGATGCTTCAACATACTACTCATTTAATTCCAACGAAATATTTTCTATTTAAGTTTTGCCTCGCGCGCTCGCGATTCCTCCTCTCGCGCTATGGTGAGGACTGCGCGCCATGTCAATCGTCCCTTGTCACCGAACTTTTAACTGGACGTTTTAATCGAACTTTGAAATGAATAAATTTATGGATTTTCAGATGGACAACAAACTGAAGAAAATTACTCAAAATTAACCGACATTATATGGAAAGTTTAACATTTTACGTGGCAAGAGATGAGTAGCTCACGCACTGCAGAAGGGTCGCGCGCCTTGAAGGCACGGTGCACAATCATCACCACTCAAATTCAACTCAAGTGACTCCGCAGTCGAATGTTTAAAGAAAATATATAATCTTACGTTTAATGCATTGACAGAGTTGATATTCTAGGAGCGCAGGATGGTTCATGCGATTAGTTGTTTTTACTGCAATAAGTAACACGTATTTACTGCACTAAGTAACACGAATGAGTAATCATTGGAAAGATGTTATTAACCATGTAAAAAATATTTAACTACACATATTTGTACCATCTTATTTGACAGGTAATATTATACTTTCGCGAGTGTTAACATCCCCAGCGTTTACCAGTACTTTTATGCTTACTATCAGCTAACACCGGCCACAACCCTGAGCTAATGTGCTCATTTGTTCTCTTTTAGCCCCGACACCCCCGCCACTTCCCGGCAACCACATTCAGATAAGCCCCCCTCTTCCCCCCTGATTTGTTATTTTATTATTTATATTGTTTTAGTTATTTATTATTATTGTTTTACCTACGTGACTTTACCGAAAAAACCTAAGAGTATGAATCATTGCAGTCACGAAAGCTACAAATTTAGAACGAATGCAATAATCATTCGTTCCACGCGCATGTGAAGAGGCGTAGTAGATTGGTTTATGCACTTCTGGTAGGAACGAAGTGGACCAGACTCCAATAGATTATATCGTGCGTCCGTTTGTCCGTCCGTCCGTCCGTGTGTCAACATCGCCCCCTACTGCAAACACTTGGCATGACCCTACAAAAACATTTAGACTCAGTGACGCTATCCTGGCTAACCAAGTGTAGCATTCCCTTATAATTCCCTCAGATAGCTTTTAATTACAATGTTACATTCCCTGATTTTTAAATAGCAACATTGACATTTAAAGCTTCAACATAAATAATTAAAACATTTATATTAACAATTAACCCACGGCGGCCTAAGGCCTACAGCTAGGCCTAAAGCCTAGACCTAGGCCTCAAGCTCTCCCTTCGTATAGTTCCCCCGCGTGTGTGAAAGGGAGTAAATGGTTAACAAGGTTACATTCCCTGATGTTTTTTAATAGAAACATTTACATTTAAAGCTTTTACATAAATAATTAAAACATTTATATTAACAATTAACCCACGGCAGCCTAAGGCCTACAGCTAGGCCTAAAGCCTAGACCTAGGCCTCAAGCTCTCCCTTCGTATAGTTCCCCCGTGTGTGTGAAAAGAAAGTAAATGTTTAACAATGTTACATTCCCTGATGTTTTTAAATAGCAACATTTACATTTAAAGCTTCAACATAAATAATTAAAACATTTATATTAACAATTAACCCACGGCGGCCTAAGGCCTACAGCTAGGCCTAAAGCCTAGACCTAGGCCTCAAGCTCTCCCTTCGTATAGTTCCCCTGTGTGTGTGAAAGGCAGTAAATATTTAACAATGTTACATTCCCTGATGTTTTTTAATAGAAACATTTACATTTAAAGCTTTTTCATTAAAAACAACTCCCTACCTCCCCCCCCTCGTCGGCGGCTCTCCAGCCGAGCCAGGCCTGGGAATCTCTCCCCCGCTCGGGGTGTATTGGGCGGGGCTACAGCGGCAGGGGGCGGGGCTACAGCGGCAGGGGGCGGGGCTACAGCGGCAGGGGGCGGGGCTACGCGGCAGGGGGCCGGGCTACAGCGGCAGGGGGCGGGGCTACAGCGGCAGGGGGCGGGGCTACGCGGCAGCGGGCGGGGCTACAGCGGCAGGGGGCGGGGCTACGCGGGGCTGGGCGGGGACACCGAGATGGGGCGGGGCCACGGGTGGCGGGGCGGGGTTACGCGGGTGGAGGGCGGGGCCACGGGGGCGGAGCGGAGCCACGGGGGAGCGGGGCGGGGTCAAGCGGTGGGAGGCGGAGCTTAGCGCGATGGAGGGAGGGGCCGTTGGCGAAAAGGGGCGGAGTCTACAGTCGAGAATACAGTACCGGGGGCGAGGAGGCGGGGCTAACAGTGATAGGGGCGTGGCCCACGGCGCTGCATCTCGTGCAGATTGTTACTACTCACTGTGTCTGCTCCAAGCTGCACTCACGTAGGTACATACTTGTGCAATACTATTATTTTTTTGCAGAACGGTTACTACTACTTTATTGTTTCTTATGTTCCACTACGTCTACGTTTCCATCCACTCATTGGCGCCCATTTTTTGCCATTTCATTTTATTATAGCCATTCAATTGTTCGGTCCTACCAGCCCACCCCACAGGGACCTGTTTTCACCAACGCACAGCAATATTCGTTCCAAGACCAACCCCGGGCACACGTCCCACAGCCCCTTTTAACTCCTCAATCTCCGCTCCCAATACACATTCGCGTCCAGCACGCCTGGTCCGGGTGACGTCACTGCCCTTTAACCCCTGACCCCCCCGTCCAGCTCTTATTTCCCGCGCGTGTGTGAAAAAAAATTAAGATTGATTGGTGCGTGTTGTCGTGAGAGCGGAGATGTCGTGTTTGCGTGGTGCGTGGTGCGTGAGGGTGGCTCGCAGATCCCTTGAAGTGCTTGAACCATTCTCCGACTCCTCTTCATATGTAATCTGACCGCTCAAAAAGAGCGAGTTTTATTCTTTAAAAAAACACGATACTTTCTTCCAATAGGCACCTCAATTTATTCTAAACCATGTTCCATGATTGATGCAATGTTGGAATGCTGCTCAAATACCGTTCTAAATTAGACATAAAGGGTATCTGGAATGAGCAGAGAATTCGTTTAATTGCGCGCAATTTGGGACGAGGGCAACTCGACGACGGTGTCCTTATTAATAACAAAACCCCTGTGTACGACTGTCCGAGCTCTTTGCAAGCAAGTGGGTGGCTCTGAAAAGAGCCGTTGTTGTGGTGGTAGAGGCGGCGGCGCGTTCACTTCTTTGCCTGAGAGGTCTTCTTGGGCAGCAGCACGGCCTGGATGTTGGGCAGCACACCGCCCTGGGCGATAGTCACGCCGCCCATGAGCTTGTTGAGCTCCTCGTCGTTTCGCACGGCGAGCTGCAGGTGTCGGGGGATGATCCTCGTCTTCTTGTTGTCGCGGGCGGCATTGCCAGCCAGCTCGAGGATCTCGGCAGAAAGGTACTCGAGCACGGCGGCCAGGTAGACGGGTGCTCCAGCGCCGACCCGCTGGGCGTAATTGCCCTTGCGGAGCAGCCTGTGAACGCGACCCACGGGGAACTGCAGGCCGGCGCGGGAAGAGCGGGACTTTGCCTTGGCGCGAGATTTGCCACCGGTCTTGCCGCGTCCAGACATCGTTAAGGGACCTAGGATGCAAAAAGCACTGGAGACAAAGTACGAACGATTTGTGACGTTAACACGCACCACGGGAGCGGCTTTTATAGCGGAGACGAGGATCGTAGAGCGCGCCGCTGCTGATTGGCTCCTCTCGCTCGAGTCCCGCCCTCTCCTTGAGCCACCAATGACAAGCCGGGACGCGAGGATTCGATGTTGACTTTCATTATTTGTATCCATATATATTTTAATGCGGCACACGCATCTTATGAATTAAACAATGCGATACACGTACTTAATAGGTTCAAGTTTTAAGCATGATAGAGTTAATTTATGGGCGCGTGCTGGCAAGTCAAACTTATAAGCGGATTCCGCAAATATCAATGTATTATTGATTATAATCATCATTTTGAGGGACCGCATTGGTTATAAGAAATCATTGTGATAGCCTTGAGCTCGTGATTGATCGCCCACGTGCCTATACGGTGTATAGATATTTTTTTTTAACCGCCTGTTCGGGCAATGCCTAAAAATATATGTGCGTGAATAATTCAGTCTCAGTTTGCAAAATGTGAACTTCTTATCAGCTCGGGCTTGAAACAGCATAAACCAATATCTTTGGGTTTAATCTATATATATAAAATCGTGAATGTCTGTCTGTCTGTGTGTGGATGTCGGACCATACGCACTTTCATTGGACGCCGGTTGCCCCTGCCAACGCCTAGCGACGTCTTCGCCGCTTTCATTGGACGCCGGTTGCCCCTGGCAACGGCTAGCGACGGGCTAGCAGTTGCGGGGTGGACGCCATCTTTAATTCCCGTTAAAAATAGGCGCACGCATTAACACGCGACTCTGAGGTAAATTCATCTAAGTTTCACGTCCTCTTTACTCCCCCCCCCCACCACAATGTGTGCTATTACTATTATAGGGTCGGTAGATTATTAAATTATAGCGATTACACAGTATTATTGAAGCGCGGGGGGGGGGGGGGGAAACGGCACCCGTACCCAGCGTCAGCCGGGTGGCAAAATCAGGCGAGGCGGGAGGCTCTGCACGGTGCTAGGCCTCCACACCCACCACGCGACGAGGTAAAATACATTTCACCAAAATAACCCTTTTGTTGTACATTATGTAAACATGGTTTCACAACGCTTATACACAACACCAACGTGTGAT